CCAGCCAAATAGAGTTAAGCTGTTCGAGATGTTCCCTCAAAGGCGTACCTTCTTGCATCCTCAAGCTGAACAACCGTTGCTTGAGATGCAGCTTGTTGGTTAAGGACTTCGTCATATACAGACTCTCCAACTTTAATCACAAGCCCGCGGCAGTCTTCTCAGCAGCGACTTCAATGATGACGTCATCAGACAACGATAGCATGATGGTCGAGTGGGCCTTCTCCTCCAGGGTATTCCACTCATCGTCATCAACCGCTGCCTTCTTCTATTTCGCAGACAGCGGCCCCCACAGCCCTTGCTGTTTTAATAAAGCCTGCATCTTGATCTGCCATATAGCGAAGCTGTTCTTCCCCGTGAACTTTTCGATCTTCATGTTCACCGACATCATTTTTATGAATCGAAAACCCTAGCCTGATTTCCAACCGCGGCTCTGATACCACTTGTTAGAAAGGTGCTGCTACGGATCGGGAAATCGTAGGACTCGACAAAGCGAGAATACGAAAGCGAGAATCGAAAGCACGACACACGATTTACGTGGTTCACTAACACGATGTGTGTTAGCTACGTCCACGGGCGAGAGAGAGCCAATTTCACTATATCGAGGAGATTACAGATTACAGAGCAGTAGGAGAAGTATTTATAGTACTTCTCCATGTGGGTCTAAACCTAATCCAATCTGGCAAAGGAAACGGTTACAGACCAGGCCCAGAACCCGGTCAGCGAGACCCCCGATTACCAGTCGTAGAGGCTGATAGTCCGATTCAAGTCACATCAACAATAAATTTGAATGAAATTTATTTATTACTAAGGTCTAATGCTACTAGAAAGCCGAAACTATACAAAAAGTATAATTTGTGTTTCAAACTATTAAATATGACAAATCTGACACAAATTATATGTGTTTCATGACATTTGTATACTAAAATATTCAATATTACAAATTTGGAAAACATAATCGATCGTGTATATATATATATATATATATAAAATATTCCACATAATGAGATAAATTCTGAGTAGCAGATTATTAGGAATTGCGTTTTGCCACATAATTGCTGTTATTAGTGCTTTGTAAGGGCTCAAGATAGGGTGAGTAACAATGAGTGACCAAATCTGGACCCTTCTTTTAAGTGACTGCAGATCTAAGGGTGGAGAATTAAAAGAATTTATTTTCCCTAGTTTTCTTAATTGGATCATATCTTCTTCATTCTAACTCGGATTTCAATTTTTTTTTGCACAGATGGAACGAGTTCGTTGTGCTCTACAAAATGATATCCATTTTCAATATTTTTTTAGAAATTTTTTTCATCCCTCTCGTTACCAACTCCATACCATATGGTATCTCCTTCGTTGTTTAGTCATTTTCGGAAATTTTTCCACAAAAGGAACGATTTAATCATGATCTATTGGATTTCAAATTTTCTGGTGAAAAAATTCCATACCTCTCGTTACCAACTCCATACCATACTATACCACTATGGTATGATGTGGTATTTTCATACCATATGGTATGCTGTTATTTAATACCAGTCAATACCATATGGTATTGACTGGTAATAACTGGCAAATTTTTTTTGTTCCAAAAAATATCAAAGTGGATATCATTTTGAATCGTTACCAACTCCATACCATACTATACCACCCTGGTATGAGGTGGTATTTTTCATACCATATGGTATATTGTTATTTAATACCGGTATTGACTGGTAATAACTGACAAATTTCTTTGTTCCAAAAAATATCAAAGTGGATATCATTTTGAAGAGCACAATTAATCTGATCTAACTGTGCAAAAAAAAAAATTCCGAGTTAAAACGAGTGAGAAATCGTCCGTTAAAGATTAAGGAAAAAAAAAATTAATGATTTTTCCAAGAGAAAGAAGGAGGCGCTGATGTGGCAGATTTTTATTGGTTATGCATGGGGTTACTCACCACAAGGTTACTTACTGGATCTGCTCCCCTTTGTAAGCATCGTTAAGTTGACATCTATCAGTTTAGGATGGAAGTGAAGTTTAGTGATCTAGTTGAACCAACATGAAGTTCTGTGGTAAATGTAAATTACTAGGCTCAGTTCAGTGATTTGTCGTGATTTTCAACCTTATAAGAACATAATCGATCGTGTATATATAATATTCCACTTATTTCGTAAAGATACACAAATCGCAATTCTAGCAGCTAGATTTTTTGGCAAGTTTTCCTTACAAACAAACATGGCGTCATGATACACAAATCATTGAAATCACAAAGGAAACGTACATGCCTACGTGGTATATGTACGTAAATACACAACTTATTGGTAAACTTTCACCTCTAATCTTCTAGCCAAATTTCTCTTGTATATGAATCATAGTAACAATATCCATAACACTATCCCCATCAATTGTCTTCTTTTTCGTATCGCATGCATTCTTCGCGCCTTTTCTTTCACCTCCTCGAGAATAGCATTGCAGTCGTCGGTCAAAATGGATGCACACATCTTTACCCTCTCCTTTACATGCCAGTGCTCCTCCTCCCAACCTTGAAACTTGCTCAGGTCCATTCCATCGCCGGTGGCCCACTCTTCCATGAACCGCAAGCTGTATATCCCGCCGGCGTTGGATCCGGCCGGCTGGCAAGGGACCCGAGGGTATCTCCACTCGAACTTGGCAAAGTCTACATCGCTTCGCGTGGAGGCAATGTACCCAGTCACCACCTTGAAGATTTCTTTGTACCAGACATCAATGTTGATGAAACATTTGGCCTTGTTGGGCCCGCCGCTGTCCAGACATTCAACGCAAGCATCCTTGATGTTTATGACCATTGCTACCGCATGTTTGTGACCTTTGCTTATGGTAAAACACCACTGCGATCGATAAAGTTACCAAGGTCAGTTCCACGTTAGATATGAAGCATTATCACGATCTGAGTTTTTGTAGCAATGTGTATTTACAAGGTCACATTTGCTGGCAATGAGTTTTGTAGCAATGTGGTGGATGGTCGACACATGATCTCTTACCCTAGTCAAGTGCTCATCATCGTGCATCTTATACCACCCACCCGGTTCATATTCAGCCCAAAAAGCATCGACGGTAGGGAAGACCAACTTTTTGAAGTGGCCATTGTTGGCTTCGAGGGAACTCTTGTTTATCTGGCCGATGTAAATACCAGATATAGTCTCTGGAACCCCAGTTTTTCTGACGAGTTCTCTGAAATCCATCCGTCTCAAGATCGTTGTCTCCCTCGCATCTTGAAACAAAACCTCCTCGCTGTTTCATCAAACATGAAACACACAACTTTCAGACTTTTCAGTAGTGTACTCGATTTATCTACACTCGTCGAATTATTAATTAATTAATAACCGTTTTGAACTGTAGCCGCCGAGTCGAATCTACTTACGGTGATAGCTCAGAATTATATGCATATCTCAGAATCTGACTGATCTCTGGACTTGACTCTGCATAGTTTGCAACCTGGTCTCTCAGTGATCTTTGGTCTAAAACATCAAACGAATCCACAAATTAGATCGAATTTATGATAAATTATAGGACAGAATCTACCCTACTTCTCAAAAATCTCTCGGAATTTTTGTCTTCTTCTGTAGAGCAGTTACTAATAAATTCATTGAATTAATAACTTAGAAACAAATCCTTAAAAATAAAATACTTACAACTGTATGTTTTGGGTTTCTTCCCCGCCATTCGTATTTCCCATTCTATTTCATCGGCCGTCTTTCCCACCTTAGCAATCGTTTCCTCCGACCACTTCTTCACCGCCATCCCTGCTTTCCAAACAATACTACGGTGTAAAGGATCGTGGTCGACGCTATTCGTCACGATCTCGATCCGAAGCTTGGAGCTCAGCACAGTCTCTCCGTTTAGTCCCTGAATCTTGATATCCACGCCATCGTCCAGTGCCGGAGACGACGGCGGCACAAGACGCAGCTTAGGGTACGATACATCAGCGTGATGGACAGCTCGGATTTTTCTGTCCGCCGCCCATCTGTCCACGGCGGCTTTTGCATCTGCCGGCGCCGTTAGCCCTAGCCGGAGAGTGGTACGAGCGGTGGATATTAATCCGCTTAACAAACCCATAATTAATTGGGGGTATACGGAATCGTGACTGTAGTAAAACAAGGTAAGCTACACATAACGTGTATATTATATACACATTACGTATCCGTAATCTGTGAGGAAGTAGGATTCGTTATAGCCGACTATGGAGATAGGGATCTAGATGTTAAAATAATAACTATATATATATTTCTTTTGTGGGAATTGGAGTACGATTATTCATTTATACCCATGACTCCGTGTAATTGGCGGAGGGTAGATCAATATCAGTGTTAAAATAAAATAAGGGTTGGTATAGTGGTAATTGCACTAATTTTGAATTTGGAAGTTTCGAGTTCGATTTTTTTAAATTTTAATATTACATAACCACAGAAAAAGTAAACCTATATTACTCTTAGAAAAAATAATTTTTTTTTGGATATTTATCCAAATTTCACTGTTATGTATATTCTATCTTCCATATTAGTTATTCTCATTATCATGGTTGTGTTGGGTTAGTAAGTAAGTTAATTGTAAGGTAGGCTTAGGTTCCTTTTGGAGTAGGCGGCAAGTAACAATAGTCGAGTATGATTAGAATTCTCTCTCATTTGAGGTTGGAATTTAATTATTTTTTACAAATAAATTAGAATAATTGTGTTCTTCAAAATTATATCCACGTGGAATATTTTAAAAAAAAAACAATTGGGACATTTATATTACCCGTCTATATTATATAGTATTTTTTTTAGGGAAACGTTTGCTTTTATTAATCAAGAACTAGTAGGCCTCATAACATCAGATTGTAGTAATTGGACAAGGAAAGATGGTGGACTATCTACCCATATTTCTTCCCTCTCCCATCCACACTCTGCATGGGCCAAACAGTGGTTGCTCGTTAAATTTCCTGCTGATAAAACTCAAAGTAAAGGAGCCCAGCCCGTTGGCCTTCTTCTTTATCTCATCGAAGACCCGACCCAATTCCAATTGTGTGTGTAGATCTCCTCCAAGCATTCTCGCCGCCACCTGACAATCCATCTGGATATCAGAGACCGAGAAATGATACTGGCCAGCAACCTCCACACCAAATTCGACTGCCATTGCCTCCACCAGTTCCGGATCCCACACCATCTTCTGAATCCTACCAACCGAAAACCTCTAGATCGATCCCGGAAGACCACCACAAAGCCCGTTCCACGGCCCGACAAGCATGTAGCATCGACAGTAATGGTGAAATCGGCGACCGCCGAAGGAGCCCAACTCGTCTGTTCAACCCACTGAGTGTGCTCTCTTTGCTTCTGAGCCTCTAGGTATTCATCTAGCCATAGACTCGCTCAGCCCATTATTTCCCATTCTTCCATTTTCGATTTGTTCCATAACTGACTGTTCCTTTGGTCCCAGATGAACCACAGAGATACCAGGAAACGATTGATCTGCTCATCTGACTCGTGTTTTTGCAATTCGCAAAGCCATTCCTCCGAGGTAAGGTTTTGGCCTCTATTGAACATAGAAACTAGAGGACTAGGTCTCCACACTCGCTGAACCCACCCACACTCCTAAAAAATGTACGTCTGAGTTTCCTTGAGATCACAAAAAGGGAAACCTTCACTGCCCTTCGTAGTTCTTTGAACGACTCGAGCTCCTGTAGCTAGAATATCACGCACCAACTTCCACGCAAACACTTTCACTTTCTGAGGAATGTCCAGCTTTCATAGTTGATCCCAATTGACAGGGGAATAAAACTCCCCTCTCTCTCCATCACCCCGGTTAAACCATAGCCTATAGGCAGACTTAACTAAGTATTCCCATGATTTCTATTCACTCCAGACCCTTACATCTCTTCCCCATTCCCTTGGGATAGGGATTTTTAGGATATTGACTCGATCTTCAGGTAGAAAGTGTTGAAAGAAGATGGGCAAGCTTGTGAAGGCTTAAACTAAGGAAAGTGGAAGAATTTGATTAGAAGGGAAATGCTGATTCTCGAGAGTCAATTAAGGAAGGGATCTGTTAAGATCAAATCAAAATCATCCGGACTCAGGGCAGCAATCGCCAACGGTTAGGAGAGTGAGTGTATAAAGAGTGAAAGAGGCTGGGTAGAATAGGTATCCTTTTCACGAGAATCAAAACAGAGACAAAGGTGTATTGTTAAGGTTTTGATTAGAGAAGGAGAGAGCTGTAAGGGAGAGAGCTTGTGGGGATTATATTGATCGAGGTTGAACAACGGCGGGGAGCAGTAGGTTCAGGGTGATTCTGATCAGAGTGACAGGGAGTCACTGTGGGATCAAAAGCTGTAACAGTGTAATCACAAACCAAAGATCATAGTATTACGTCAAAGGACTCAAGAAGAGTACCTTTGACCGTGGATTAGTCAATACTGAATTTATCAGTATTGGATACCACGTAAAAATACTGTGTCGCGCGTTCATATGTATTTCTGCTGTGCTTTGATTATTTCCAGTTTTTGCTCATATTCTTGTTTTAGTGTGTTTCTGAGCTTTGTGCAGAACAAGGTAAGATCGATCTGTTGAAAAGAAGAAGAAGAACTGAGTTATCAAAACGCAACGTGCAGAGTAACCAAGTTGGGCCGGTTTAAGGTTGAAGATCGAAAACAAACTGAGCCCAACCAATCTTAGATTTAGTTCCAGACTCGGTGTCGTTTTGATACAAAAAGGAAGGGAAGTTACTTTACTCTTTTCCATCGATTCTATTTACAGTTCACTTCACCTTCTTTCACTTGATCCTGTAAAAAATCGAAACTAGGGTTTCTCAGGGTTACAATCGATCGACGAAGGAGGAGAATTGCAGCCTGAGTCTCGCGCTGGACTCAACCAACACGTGGTATCATAGCCCGGCTCCGGCGAACAAGGGTTAACTACCTGCGGAGGAAATGAGTTCGAGTGCAAGCAATGGAGGGGTGTGCATGGCCGACGGATTCTCTCAGACTAGACCTCCAAGATTCGAAGGAGTTCACTATGGCTACTGGCGCAATCGCTTGGAATTGTTCATAGGATCGACTGATCCTGATTTCTGGAGAATTGTGATAGATGGACCACTTGAAGTAAAGGAGGTACGAGGGAAATGGTCCGACGAAGATAAGCGGAATTTCCAACTAAATTTCCAACGAAATGGTCCGGAAGAATATCATCGGGTTTCCGGATGCAAAACCGCAAAGGAAATCTGGGATAAATTGCAAGTGGCTCATGAAGGCACCAGCCATGTTAAAATATCTAGAATAAATCTATTGAAGCAGGATTTCGAATACTTTGTGATGAAGCCAGAGGAAACCATCAAGGAAATGCACGACAGGTTCACCACCATAGTAAACAATTTAAGGAACCTGGGAGTAGAGTATGGTAGCGGAGACCTGGTGAGGAAAGTGCTATGGGCTCTCCCAAAACTATGGATGCCTAAGGTTACTGCAATTGAAGAATCAAAGGATTTAACGACGTTAAGTCTAGATGAACTCATGGGTTCACTAATAACACAAGAAGAAAAACTCAGAAGAGAAGGAGAGGAGATTCGAAGAGAGAAGAAGAGTATTGCATTTAAAGTGTCTGTAGCAGAGGATGAACTTGACTGTCTGGAAGATATGGAAGATGAAGAGTTGGCCATGCTGAGCAAGAATGTGGCCAAGCTACTTAGACTACGAAAATAAAAGAGAAAAGGAGGAGCTCTTAATCGAACAAGGGAAGGTGATTCAGAGAAGGAGCAAGTGAAAACAGTGAGAGCAAATCCAAAAGCCAGAAGAGAGTTCATCAGCTACGACAATAAGGGTGGGTCGTCAGCTGGATGCTTCAAGTGTGGAAGGAATGGACACATCAAAGCGGAGTGTCCACAAATAAAGCGGGAGAAAGCATATGCAGCCACCTGGAGCTGTAGTGAAGATAAAGAGGAAGAAGCCGACCCCAAATATGAAGCATACATGGCTATGGATGAAAGTGAAGATGATGTGGAAGCTTCACAGGTAAGTAACTATAACTACTACTCTGATTCATGTGATGAAGATGGTCAATTAATAGAAACTATAAGGGATATTCAGTCAGAATTCGCACGCGTTAAAACAAAACATGCTTAAATGAAATCAGAGTTTGAGGAACTATCTAAGAACTACAATGAACTGAAAAAGGGAAAACTAGAGACAGATAGAAGGTTGGAAGAAGTCTTAAGAAGAAATGTGATACTAGAGAAAGAAGTCTCTAAAGGTCGGAAAGGTAATAACCAATTGTGTACAATACATAAATGGCCATTAGTAACAAAGACGAGCTATAACAAGTCAATTCCTGAGTGCTTTTACTATCATGGGTTAGGACATTATATTTCACAATGTCAGAAAATAATAGCTAAGGAAACCAGGTTAAAAGAAACAGTATGCTTTTCGTGTCATACCAAGGGTCATATGAGTTATAATTGTACTGATGTCAAGATGAAAGTAGAGTATCCAAATTGGTATGAATACCTAAGAACAAATAAAATATTTTTGTGTCCAGGTTTGCTTCCAAGTGAGCATTGAAGACAGCGAATGGATCCTGGACAGTGGGTGCTCACACCACATTACAGGAAATGAAAAACTTTTCTCTAAATTGATTAAGGGTAAGAAAGCTAAGGTTTATTTTGGGGATAACTACTACAAGGATGTCTTAGGAAAAGGAGAATTAGGATCGAGACCAATTATAACTAATTTAATGTGGGTCGATGGGCTTAAGCATAACCTATTTTCAATTAGCCAAATGTGTGGAGAAACAGATAGAGTGATTTTCGAACCTAACAGATGCTATGTTGGAAATATTGAGAGCAGAAAAGTACTGTACAAAGCAGAAGAAAAGGAAAACTATTTTGCATAAATCTGAATAACAAGAATGATTTCAATGAGATGTGTTTGATAACTGTGGACAAAGATGAACAGTTAGAATGGCATAGGAAGCTGGGTCACATCAGTGTAGGATCTTTAGCTAAACTGGTTAGTCTGGGAAGTGTAACTGGAATACCTAAAATCAACAGTAAAAAGGAATTTTTTTGTGAAGAGTGCACAAGAGGTTAACAGGTCAGATGCACTTTTAAAAGTAAACCTGTAATTTCTACTTCTAAACCACTAGAATTGCTACATCTGGATCTCTTTGGTCCAAGTAATGTAATGAGTCTTGGTGGAAAATACTATGCTTGTGTAGTGGTAGATGATTATTCTAGGTTTACTTGGGTTCTTTTTTCTCTCAAACAAAGAAGAGACCTTTGTGGAATTTAAAAATCTGATTAAACGACTAGAAAATGAAAAGGGAACCGGAATTGTGAGTATAAGAAGTGATCACGGGGGAGAATTTATATCTGACAGCTTTGATAAGTTATGTTAAGAAACATGAATTTTTCATAATTTCTCTGCCCCTAGAACTCCACAGCAAAACAGAGTGGTAGAGAGGAAAAACTGCACATTAATAGATATAGCTAGGACAATGTTGAATGATTATGGCTTACCTAAACACTTTTGGGCAGAAGCCATAAACACAGCCTGCTATATTATCAATAGAGGTTTAATGAGGTCTAAACTAAATAAAACATCATATGAATTGTGGAAAAACAGAAAACCAAATGTGGGGTACTTTCACCCTTTCAGGTGTAGATGTTTTGTTTTAAATACCAAAGATAACCTAGGAAAATTTGATTCCAAGTCTGATGAAGCAATTTTCTTAGGGTATTTTGTTCATAGCAAAGCCTTTAGAGTGTATAACAAACGGACTCTCAAAGTTGAGGAGTCCATAAACGTGGTATTTGATGATTCTCCAAGTAAGTGTGCAGATCAAATTGATGAAGATGACGATCTTGGACTAAGAAGATCATATAATTTAAGCCAAATAGATCAAGCTGAAAAGGAGACGAGAAACGAAAATTCACAAGAACCAGCAGATAAAGGACACTGACCTGAGACTGATGGGAACAGAGCCATAGCAGCTCCCTTGCACATTCAAAAAAGACATCCATCATCTCAGGTCATTGGTGATCTGAGGGAAGGTATGATAACTAGATCCAAACTATCTTCCATGCAAACTGCTTTTGTGTCTCTATTAGTACCTAAAAATATAAAAGAGGCTCTGAATGATGAATTATGGACAACCTCTATTGATCAGTAGTTTCTTTCTCACAGGACAAGTTGTGCTTTAATGATCATACCTTTCACCCCACACTCAAGGTCTTTGCAACCCATAACCTTTGACTGACTCAAATCCATCCAAAAACTCAAATAGCAACACTCAATTTCGATCGTCGGTAGTGGGTGATTAACAACTTATGGTGCAACAGTTATTAGGAGAATCAACACATCACTGAGGTGCATATCTCGTGAGGACATTCTGGCTTACTCACACCAATCATAAGCAATTAATTAAGCATGAGTCTCAAAAACTAATGGGGGAAGCCTTTCGCAAACATGATTTTAACTTTAAGCACATCACTACCTTTTATGACAAGGAGAGGCTTTCTCTCTTTCTGCTTTTGCTTGCCGAGAGGTCGTATTTAGTACAAGTGGGATTTGTTTCTTACTACCGGTGACCGAGCAAGAGCCATTTCTGCTTCTTAGCACTCGCATAAGGGCTTCTTTTAACTCCTTTTCCTCGGTCCGTGCGGAGGGTCATTGCACATCCTCTAATGGCACTTCACTCAACTGGGGATCGTACTTGATAAGCAACATCGTACGGTCGCGAACCGATTCTCAATTGAATCTTTCCTCATCCCCATGTGTAATGAGTGATTGCCTCACACGATTTTGGCATTTTTACCCACACTTTAATTGTTATGGCAACTTTCTTATATTTTACTTGTCAGGTAGTGTTTTCTTTTATGAAGATACAGTTCATCCCATCATAAAACATTCAAAACAGAGAGACTCGTTGCAAAATCAAAAGCTCACAATTGATGCAAGTAAGCACGGTATCCAAACATATCGAATGGTCAATGTTCTCCACCTAACTACTTCACCAAAATTCATTACACTATCCTCACAAAAGAGAATGTTGCTAAAAGAGTTTGCTCATTCAAAGCACATCAAGTCAGTCAAAACATTCAAGCTCATTATGAAGAACTATGCAATTCAACACTAGTGGGGTGATTTCGATGATTTCATTCAAGCACAAACTCATTTTGAAAGCATCACAGTCATTTACATCATGTTACCACAAGAGTACAAGGTTTTGTTTTAATTTTTCTGATTTTTAGGCATTAACTTTGCACAGGTAGCCTGCTTTTTACACAAGCAAACTGCATGCAGTTTGGCTGTGCTCAAACTGATGGCATTTTTTTTACGATATACACATGACGAGACACTATGGACAACAAAGACTCGACATAAAACACGACAAGAACACAGACTATCCACCCCACACTCAGGATGGACATTGTCCACAATGTCTACAACTACACACGACACACCAACAGGTTCACCTAACTAACATTATTACAGACCATTATCAGAAGTATTCACAAAGAAAAGAAGAAAAGAAGAGAAAAAAAAAACCTCGGGACAAGCTCCTATGAAGGAGGAGTCGATGAAGAACTGCCAAGCCTCTCATCTAGACGCTAGTTTAGCTCCTTGATCTTCTTATCTTTCTCTGCGTCTCTAGCTTACAAGAGAGCTATTCTGGCTCTGAGCTCGTCTGTAGATGATGGTGAAGCTTGTACAACTGGTGGAGTATCTTCTGGATGCGGAACTGGAGGTGGATGTGACTACTGGCCCTGGCTGACCCTCGAGGCAGAGTGTCCCGCTGCTGCTGGTGCTGATGAACAAGCCCCCAGAGGCATGGGTGTAGGAGCTGGAGCTGTGGTCGGAGTGGCTACTGATGGTGCGGGAGATGATGCCGAAGCAGAAGTTGCTCTAGCAGCCCTTATTGCCCTTTTCCGATTGACCTTGGTCTCCCACTCCTTGTATTTGGCGATAGATAAATATTCACCCCGACATCCTGCTTTCCTCAGAAAACCCAATTTGCCTAACGTTGATTCCCCAAGCAGAGTCGAGCCCTCACTGATCTCCATACCCGTAGGGTTCTCTGGGAACCCCCAGTAAGCTCGAGCTAATGCAGTAACGATTCCCCCACACATAATCATTTTCAAGCATCTTACCCACCATGTACCCAACACACAATGGTGTTCCAGTAACGAAACTGTGAATGTACCTGAGATTGGTGGTGTAGACACCACTGGCATTGGATCCCTTTCCCAAGACAGTGCGAGCCAGGTAGTCATGTACTAGTGGGATCACCGGGTCTCTAATCGATGCTCTCCTCGAAGAAGTAGGATTGAAGTCCTTTCCATTTGCCACAATTGTCGTCCAAAACTCACTCAAGTCCTGTTTTTCATCAGGAATTGCATCTGCTGGACCATCGAAGAGAAGTGCTCGGTTTACTTGGCTCAAAGTGAGGGACTTGGTTTTCCCGGCCAAAGTACTCTGAAGTTTGCTCTCAACCCCATTATCCTCGAAGCTGTAGGTGGCCAAGAATGCTCTGGTGAGGTGTGGATAGGTGGGGAAGTGCAGCTCCGGAAATCTTGCCCAATTCAACCAGCGGACGTATGTCATCACCTCCTCAGCCCGCTCGGTCTTCTTCAATGCTTCATAGTCCATGAACTGGGAAGGGGTGACCTCTCGTTTCATCAGATCGGCATATTCTTCTTTATGTTTCTGGAGCTGGACAGGTTGACCGAACGTCTTAGAGTCGTCCTTTAGAGGAGGAGTGCCAGCCTTCTTCTTGCTTGCAACTAGGCTAGTACGACGTGGTGTCGTGGATGGTGCAGGTGCTGAAGAAGAAGGCATCTGTGATCGTGAAGATGAGCTCGGTTGCTGGAGACGACTCCTCTTCGCTGGCCTGCTCTCCGGTGATACAACTGGTGTTGAATATGGTAATGGAGGTTCTTCAGTAGGCATTTGAGCAGGCTGCCGTGGTGGAGATGGAGTTGGAGAAGTCATCTCAATAGTCCGGGACCGCATCGTGGGTCCAACCTGGCCGGTGATCACCCTGTGAAATCGAGCGGGCATGTTGACCGCTTGAAATTGTGGAGGAACTTCTGGAATTGGGCTGTCTTTATCGGTCACCTTGTGGCTGTCTTCAATCATCCACGAACGGTAAACAATCTTCCCATCTTCACTTTGATCAGTTACCTTGAACTGCCGAGGTGGATGGATATATCTTCGACGTCCCATATCTGCAACCAAGAGTGCAAACTGGAAAACAAACTTCTTAAACCTCCCCTCTGCTCTTGAATCAACAAGTTTGCACAAATTTGTGCTCTGCTTCCCAAATTCCAGTTCACTGTTACCACAATCAGAAAATCCCCAAATTCTGCAACCCTCAAATAAACCAATTCTCAAGATTCACCATAAATCTTCTGCAAATATCCTTCTAGACAATAATTGCACTTCAATTGGCCCAATCAATCAATCAACACACCCCAATTTCACCTCATATTCGAAATTGAGCAAAACCCCCAATTTGAAGAACCCTAATTTTTTTTTTCTGTTCTTGAATCTTCAACTTCTAGGTTTTTCAAATCAGACCTGGGGGAAGGGGGTGATTGGAGGCGGTGGAGGGGTTGGGTTGGGGCGCTGGGTGGGCGGCGATCCCCGGAGACGGCGGCCGGAGATGGCTGCGCGGCGGAGCTGCGGTCGGGTTTTCTGCTGCGGTTGGGTTTTCTGCTGTGCGCGCGACGTCGCCACCGTGGGGTGAGAACTGGACGCGCGACGGCTGGGCAAGAGGGGCGGGCTGGGAGCGCCGCCGGAGGGAGGCTAGAGGTCGGCGGGGGGAGGCTTGCTGCTGTGCTGTTCGATAGGAAGAGGGGAGGAAGGGGAAGAAGGGAGGAAGAGGAAGGGGAGGGGGTGCCAGACCCCTATTTTGGTTTCTGGTTTTTTTTTTCGAAACGCTGTCGGATTTTTTTTTTTTTTAGAGAAACGGAATTTCTCCCTTTCAGTCCCCCCTTCCTTCTCAAAAATGTCAGATCAGACCTCCCCCCCCCCCCCCCCCCCCCCCCCAAAAAAAAACTTTCAGATTAGTCCTCCCCCCACATTTGCGGTTTGCTTGTGCTATTGCAGCCTCCCTGTGCAAAAAAAGTCTGCCCGTGTACCAACAAAACACCAAATAATACCTTCCTCAAGGCTTTTGGAGCTGAAATTTGGCGGAGAGCCTCTAGACACACCCTAAAACAAAACAATAAAAAAAATATTGAAAGAAAAACTCACCTTGGGTTGCCTCCCAAGAAGCGCTTGTTTTTCGTCGCTAGCTTGGCGTGAAATAGCTCATTCTAGATGGTATGTTGAGATTTCCAAGATGGAAACCCCTTCAATATAGTGCTTGAGCCTCTGACCATTCACCTTAAATGCCCCTTGATCACCAAGAATCTCGATTGCACCATGTGGGTACACTTTGGTGACCGTAAATGGTCCGGACCACCTTGACTTTAATTTTCCAGGGAAGAGTTTAAGGCGTGAGTTGAAAATTAATACCTTCTCTCCCACCTTGAACTCCCTTCGCAATATGTGGTGATCGTGCCACTTCTTGGTTTTCTCCTTATAAATCCGGGCATTTTCATAGGCATTAAGCCTAATCTCGTCGAGCTCATTCAGTTGCAACAGGCGCTTCTCTCCAGCAGTTTTTAGATCAAAGTTCAGCTTCTTGATAGCCCAGTACGCCTTATGCTCGAGCTCGACGGGCAAGTGGCAAGCTTTTCCAAACACCAATATGTACGGAGACATGCCTAAAGGAGTCTTAAAAGCAGTTCGGTATGCCCAGAGTGCATCATCTAACTTCCTTGCCCAATCTTTCCTTTTTGAATTCACCGTCGTCTCCAGAATGTGTTTCAGTTCTCTGTTGGAAACTTCCACTTGCCCGCTGGTTTGTGGATGATAGGGTGTAGCAACTCGATGCTTAACCCCATATCTGGCCAGCAACGTGTTCAACTCCTTTCCCATGAAGTGTGTGCCCACGTCACTGATGAGAACTCGAGGGACTCCGAATCTGGTGAACACGTTCTTCCTCATGAAATTCACCACCGTCTTTGAGTCATTGGTGGGCAACGCCACTGCCTCCACCCACTTGGATACATAGTCGACTTCGACTAAGATATATTTGTTGTTGAAAGACGGTGGGAATGGCCCCATGAAATCCACTCCCCATACATCAAACATCTCTACCTCCAAAATCGAGGTCTGCGGCATCTCCATCCTTGCAGATATGTTCCCTGTTCTTTGGCACCTATCACATTAAGCAAAAAAATCACGGGCATCTCGAAATAGAGAAGGCCAATAAAATCCAGATTGTAACACCTTTGCTGCTGTCCTATGAGGTCCAAAGTGGCCTCTTGCGGCCATACTATGATAGAAATTTAGCACCGACTTTACCTCACACTCAGGAATACATCTTCTTACCATGGTATTAGCACAACGCTTATACAGGAAGGGGTCTTCCCATATATAATTCTTGGCAATAGTAATCAACTTCTTGCGCTGTTGATAAGACAAATCAGGGAGCTTACCTGTGGCGAGATAGTTTGCAAGATCTGCATACCAGGGAGCTTGTTGGACAAGGAGAGCATAAAGTTGCTCGTCTGGAAAAGACTCATTGATCTCAACCTTGTCCTTAGGAATGGCCTCAAGCTAAAGTCTAGAAAGGTGGTCGGCTACCAGATTAGCCGAACCTTTCTTGTCACGAATTTCAACGTCGAATTCCTGCAAAAGAAGAACCCAACGAAGCAATCTCGCTTGGCCTCCTTCTTTGAAAGAAGGTGCCGTATAGCTGCATGGTCAGTGTACACAACTGTTTTCGATCCCATCAAATAAGATCGAAATTTATCAAAAGCAAACACCACAGCAAGCAGTTCTTTTTCAGTAGTGGAATAGTTCAATTGTGCATCATTAAGAAGCTTACTTGCATAGTACACCGCGTGCAACTTACCTTCCTTCCTCTGCCCCAAAACTGCCCCGACTGCATAGTCGCTAGCATCGCACATAATTTCAAATGGCAGAGTCCAGTCGGGTGCAGTGATAATGGGAGCAGAAGTTAACTCCTTCTTAAGTCGATTGAAGGCCTGAAAACACTCATCAGAGAAGTTAAACGCAGTATCTTTGGCCAACAAATCACATAAAGGCTTGGTGATCTTTGAGAAGTTTTTAATAAATCTCCGGTAAAAACCGGCATGACCTAGAAAACTTCTAATTCCTTTTATTGTGCTGGGAGGGGGAAGTTTTTCAATGATTTCAATCTTAGCTTTATCAACTTCTATCCCCCTCGCCGAAATTCGATGACCAAGCACTATACCTTCTGTCACCATGAAGTGACATTTTTCCCAGTTCAAGACTAGATTAGTCTCTTCGCATCTCTGCAA